TTTTTGAGTGATTCGAGTGTAAGGCCTGAGTTCTGTCCCCAGGCCCCACATGGAGGAAGGAGAGAAGCGACTCCTGTGGTTGCCTCTGACTTGCACGTGTACTGTAGCACACACACACACATTCTCACCCTCACAGTAAGTGAACAAGGGTAAGGGAATTGTAGTGTTGTTGATGAATGACAGTATCAGATTATTTTCTTCATTTCAGATTGTTCATTGCTAGTGTATGCAAATAGAATTGCAGATTGGTCTTATGCCCTACAACTTTATCATAGTCACTAGTTGAGAGCTTTTGTTGTTGTTGTTGTTGTTTTTTTGAGACAGGGTTTCTCTGTGGCTTTGGAGGCTGTCCTGGAACTCGCTCTGTAGACCAGGCTGGGCTCGAATTCACAGAGATCCGCCTGCCTCTGCCTCCCCAGTGCTGGGATTAAAGGTGTGCACCACCAATGCCCAGCTGAGAGCTTCTTACTCAGTAGAAATTGCAGAGTATTTTCTTATAAAAGTATGGCATACACAAACAGAAATAGAGTACTTCCTTTTCTCTGATGGGTATGCTGTTTATTTAGTTATTTATTTTTGCCTAATTGCTGAGGAGTGAACCTTCAGAACAATCTAGAGAAGCCAAGTGTGTGGCTCACCTGACATGTCAGCACTGGGGAGGCTGAGGCAAGAGGCGTGTCAGTCAGAGGCAAGTCCAAAGCAAAACAAAAATCAACATGAGGAAAAATGGTGAGAACAGACAGACAGACAGACCTTTTCTTGTTCGCACCTTGCTGGGGTGAGTTTTAGCCGTGCAGTGACTGTTGTGGTTCTTTATCGGGGTGGAAATCCCATGTTTCCCATTGGATGCATCTTCTGTCAGGACCGGATGCTGGATCTATTGATTCATTTCCTGTGTAAAGGTGATGGTGTGGGTACTGCCCTTTACTATGCTGGTGACCATATTGCATCAAGTGATTTTCAGATGTTAAACCAGCCTTACATTCCCAGAGCAATTTGGTCTGGATATATGATCCCTTTGTATATGTTCTTCTAGGCATTTGTTAAGCATTTTTGTCTATATTCATAGGAGGTCCACATCTGTGGTGTGTGTGTGTGTGTGTGTGTGTGTCTGCGTGATTCATTGCCCAGTTTAGTACTCTTACTGTTCAATTTGTTAGAGTAGAAGTCAGGAGCATCTGGTAACTCCTGCTTGCAGGGCTCTGGTGGGAAATACTGAACACCAGCTCTGAGCACAAGGTCTGACAGTGGGTACCAATGGGGAAGATAGAGCCTTACCTATAAATGTCATTGGATTTTATTTTACTTTTTACTCTTTGCTCTTTGGTGGCTACCCCTGCCACCCAGCTCCTAAATAATTACACACAGAGGCTTATTCTTTCTTATGAATGCCCAGCCTTAGTTTGGCTTGTTTCTTGCCAGCTTTTCTTAAATTATCCCAACTACCTTCTTTGCCTCTGGACTTTTTTCTTGATTCTGTGTATCTTACTTTCACTCTCCATGGCTGGCTGGGTGGCTGGCTGGCTGGCTGGCTGGGTAGGTAGCTGGCCCCTGATATCTTACTCTCCTGTTCTATCTTGCTCCTTCCTCCTTTCTCCTTCTATTTATTCTCTCTGCCTGCTAGCCCTGCCTGTCCTTTCTCCTGCCTAACTAATGGCTGTTCATCTCTTTATTAGACCATCAGGTGTTTTAGACAGGCAAAGTAACACAGCTTCACAGAGTTAAACAAATGCAACATAAAAGAATGCAGCACATATTTGCATCATTAAAACAATTGTTCTAAGCATAAAACAAATGTAGCAATTCTTAAAGTAATTTTCCACAACACATAACTAGAACTCTAGCCTGGGGACAGAGGATGGGCACTTACAGGCCAGTGAAGAGGGTACCAGAGGGATCTGTGTGCCCTTTCTCTCTCAGTAACTGAGTTTTAGAGCTCAGAGCATGACAACAAACTGGGCAGCTCTCCCATCCTTTTTGTTTGCTGATTTAGATTCCAGAGAAAAGAGGGAATGCCAGCATCCTTGGGCTCTGACTGAGTGAGTACCTGGCCCGCTAATGATGTGGACGGGTCAGAGGATGCTCTGGGAGAACTTCAGCCTGCCCTCTTAATGTGGGAATTACCAATACGGAGCCAGGTAAAAATACAAGGGAATTTAATAGGGAAAAGCCTTACTTACAGAGCGACCTAGCCAGCGGTAAGTACAGCAAGCCGAAGATGAAAGCGAAAGTATCCCACCATGTAAGCGTCCCTCACGCTTTGTCACCCTGACCACGCCCTTGCAGGCACGGTCAGGCACACCTGTAGCCAGCCCCTAAGCAGGCTACAGAATCCCCTACACCCTCTCTTTAGCTTCAAAGGAAGGAAAGGCCCGGTGGTCAGCAAGTCCTACAGAAACAGGAGTGGGAGCCGAGTGGTGGTGGTGCACACCTTTAATCCCAGCACTCGGGAGGCAGAGGCAGGTGGATCTCTGTGAGTTCGAGGCCAGTCTGGTCTACAGAGCTGAGTTCCAGGACAGGCTCCAAAGCTACACAGAGAAACCCTGTCTTGAAATGCCCCTATGTCCAAAAAAGAAAAACGGGAGAAGGAGAGAGTGTGGGATGAGCAGAGGCTCAGAAATGAGGCCTGTGGATTCCCAGTCAGAGGATGTGGCCAGCTGGCAGTGTGGGAGGGTAAAACTCTGGCAAAGCTTTTGATCTAGGTGTCTTGTTACATACTTATCAGAGCCACTGTGTGACCTTGAGAAGGTCATTGTCCTAGTTAGGGTTTCAATTGTCATTGAAACATCATGACCAAAGCAATGTGGGGAGGAAAGGGTCCATTCTCACTCACAGGTGTCCATCATTGTTCATCATCACACGCAGTCAGGGCAGGAACCTGGAGGCAGAAGCTGACACAGAGGCCCTGGAAAATGGTGCTTACTGGCTTGTTCCTCCTGGCTTGCTCAGCCTGCTTTCTTGTAGAACCCAGGACCACAGGCCAGGTGTGGCCCCACCCACAATGGGCTGTGCCCTCTCCCATCAACCACTAATTAAGAAATGCCCTACAGCCATATGTCATGGAGATCTTTTTTCAATTGAGGCTTCCTCCTTTCAGATGACTTGTGCTTGTATCAGGTTGCCATAAACCAGCCAGCACAGTTACCGTCTTCATAGTAGAGGACATGTGTCCACTCAGCACTCTCCAGAGCCCAGTGATCGGGATCTGAGCTTCTCCAAGGAGCGGGCGGCCCATTCCCTCTGCACATTTACTGTCCCACTCTGGGGATCCAGTGCTGTTTTTGTGCCTGAAGCTCATTGCAGAGAAGGTTGTCACCACTCACTGCCACAGAAGCATCTTCTGCCCACACTGACAGCCCTGCTCCGACCCCCTCATGGCCAGCAAGCCGGAGGCAGCCCTCAGAGAAACCAGTGTCTGTTAGGTGCCCAGCTCAGCCGCCATGTGGAATATGATGTAATCCCGGAGTCTGTGGTTGCTAGGACAATCTTGCCTGCAGTGACAATGCGTGGTCCCAGGACTGGAGTGAGAACAGAATGTTTCTGAGAAAACAGAGACTTCATAGGGCTTCTCAAGCAAAGGTGTCTCTTCCCCGATACCTGCCCCTTCTGGCGGCTGTGTTCCTCTCAAGAACTAAGTAGATCCCAGAGGCAGAAGCAGGCGGCCAGATGATAGATGAATTACTTTAGCACCAGTGTGCAGGGCTTCCAGGTGTCATGTGTCATATGGGCCACCCGTCTGCAGCACCACCTGAGGTGCCTCCTGGCTCCTCCTGACAGCAAAGTGTGCAGGAAGCACTCCCTTGTGGTGTGGACAAGGATAGCCAACACTCTGCTGACTCCAGTCCAAGTGCCAGAGGCCCTATTGCGCACCACCCCCATCCAACCCAGTCCTGGGAGGCCTTTTCCTGTCCCTGCTGTTCCCATCTGCGTCTTCCAGAGAGGTTGCCTCCAGTATCGCAGCAGGGAAGTATGCTAGAAAGGCCACATGCAACCCACTGTTAATGTTTAGGGCAAAATGCTGGACCACCATTTAGAAAAGGCAGACAGGTAGCGTGGGATGCAAGGACAGAGAGGCATGGCCAGCTGCTTCCCCTCCCCTCTTGCCTCTTCTGGTAGAGCCTGTTTTAGTGGTGGCTCATGGCTTTAATCCCAGCAATCAGGAAGCAGAGGTGGCCAGCCTGGTCTGCAAAGTGAGTTCTAGGACAGCCAGAGCTGTTATACAGGAAACTTTGTCTCAAAACCCATGAGCCTGTGCTTTATTTTTAAGTGTATGAGCATGTTGCCTGTGTATATGTATGGGATGGCCATGGAAGGCTGGAAGAGTGTTAGATCCCCTGGAACTGGAGTTACAGATGGTTGTCTAGGTTCTAGCAACTGATCCTGGGTCCTCTGCAAGAGCAACAAGTGCTCTTAACTGCTGAGCTGTCTCTCCAGCCCCAAGGTCTAACCTTGAAAAGTACAGGTTCCCAAGAAAACCTTTCCACCTGCCCTACTGTGGTGCCCTTGGAGCAAGGGACATGAGCAGACAGAGCTCTGCTCTAGGACCAAAGACCTAGCTCATGTCTAGCAGTGTGGTCTTGAACTAGCCACTGGGTCTGCGGTGTCCCCAGCTTGGCTGCAAGAAGACGAGAGGGGAGGTGGGCTTAATTAGAAGCACTTCTCTTCTCCTTCCCTGTTTCATTTAGGTTGTCTGGTACCCCAAGCTGGCCCCGAACTCCTGTGTAGCCAAGGAGGACCATGAACTTCTGATCCCCTTGCCTCCACCCTGAGTGCTGGGATCAGCGACATCACCCAGTTTGTGCGGTGCTAGGGACTAAAACCAGGGGGCTTTGCTTGCAAGACAAGCGCCCTGCCACCTGGATTCCATCCCCAGCCCCTTTGAAGCACTCTGCACTATTTTGTCAGGGGTGGGAAAGTAGGAGAGGGCTGCTCCACTGGTGAACATAGCCTTTCTGCCTTATCCCAGAAGCCATCAGCAATTCTTGTTCATTGTTCTGCAGGTGCAGAGGACGTGGTGATGGCGTTTTCCAGGTCGGAGACAGAAGACCGGAGGCAGTAGCTGAAAGCCCCTTGAAACACCCTGAAAGCTACAGAGGGCCAAGATACCTGTGGGGCTCCTCTCCCTGTTGAGTGGCAGCAAACGACCTTCTTCCCTCCCTCTGCTCCCCTCACCCCCCCTCCCCACCCCAGCCACTCAGCAGGGCTGGCATCAAGGGAGATGCCAGTGGTGGTTTGTGATTGGCTTAAGGGATGGACTCGTGATTGGCTGCAGGAAGAAACCTTTTTATTTTTAAATCTTGACCAACGGAAACCTTTTATTTTTATTTCTGACTCTTTATTTTTTTAAAAATTTGCGCCTCGGTAGTTGGCTTCCCCGGAAGCTCTCCGAGCTCTGGTGCTTTATTTAGGTCATTTTTTAGGATCGTGAAGAGGCCCGATTGGCTGCTTAAACTGGAAAAGGATTGTGATTGGCTGGCTTGTGGGACATGTCTTCTCTTTGATTGGCTGCAGGTGTTCTGCTCATATCACCAAGTTCTTCTATTCCGAATGCAGAAAACAGGGTTAGGGGATATTGATTGTTATATTTGACTTGAAAAAAGAAAAGAAAGAAACCAAATGAGCTTTGCGATATTTATTACACAAAGAGCTGGCTGCCGCCTTCACTATTGGGTTTGTGTTTGAATTTGGTTGGCTGTCAGTATGTGAATTTGGTTTCCCATTGGCTCACCCCTAACTCCCATTGCTATGAACTTACTTCCACTCTGCTGCTTATTTGAGGCCTAAGGGTACACCTGGAGACTGCATGTGCTTTAATGACCACACCTGCCTCCACCAGCAAAGGGACCCTGGGGACCCTGAGTAGGGTCCACAGCTGGAAACCTGCCCCCAAGGAGCTTTGTGTTGTCCTGAGCCAGCAGCCAGAGCTCAGGGATGACCAGGAGGCAGGATTTATGTATTCGATTCTAAGAGTTGGCAGCCAGCCAGTTTCCTGGGGCGAGAATGAATTGTGCAGATCTCTCCCTGGCTGGTCCATGCTGAACACAGGAGCACTGGCCGG